ACGGGATGCATTAGTCATATTTTATGTTTGATGTCATATTTTACTCAGCTGCCTTTAATGGAATGTCAATAAAATATTAATACACCTTAAAAGATCATATAATAAACATGTATAAAACTGTCGTACATTCAACATTTATTACTATATTATAGAATGTGGAGCAAACTGGTCTAGTGGTAGAGCGCGAGACTTTGGTCCGTGAGGTCCCGGGTTCAAATCCTTCTAAATCACCAGTGGATTTGATCTAAGTGATAATACCGCGACGTCTAGCCTGAAGTCATGCGGAAAACAATCCCGGGTTCGTGCCAAGCGTCCATAAAAGAACTAGACTATGTTGCTTTGTCGCGCATAGTTCGAATCTGATCAAACCTAATTATAAACAAAATTGTGAGTGAAAACTATTTTTATGAGATTTTAAGATACGGTACAAAACTTCTATAAAATCTAATTTATCTATCGAACAACTTTTTTTTATCATTGAGTTGACACCTACCACACTATAACAGCTGTTGTTTGCATATTTTTTTTCCTGTTGACAACTACTGTAGAGTCAGTTTATTTTTGTTTCGTAGTTAACAACTTTCCTCGTGGTGACGCGTATTACAAATTACTATTTAACCTGCAACGCCCGCCAAGTACCGGTTTGAGCCGGGCATTATTTATTCACTTGGATAGAGGTTTATCAGATAAATACACGAGTGATGTTATCTCTATTTCACCAGTAGAATGCGCTGTTGTCCGCGACTGACTTACGAACCAAACAAACATGCCGGTAGACATGTTAAAAGCTGTGTTGTTCTTGGTATTACACAATATTAATCATGACTTATTTCAAATAATTATATAGCCTTCACAGTCCGAACTTTGACTATGCACAGTGACACTAGATTGAACAAAGGGAAAGTAGAGAAACATTTGAGAGGTTTAGATTGGTTTCTCATCGTAGTGTCTTATTTTTTCTTTTATGAAAAGTGTCTCTAGTGGAGAGGCTAAAGAAGTAAAAATGTTTGATGACAATTTTAATTATTTTATAAATATACGATGATTAATTTATTTATTTCAAAATTTGCTAGAACTAAGCAGTCTCGAGACAATCTTGAAAATGAAATTTAAATCACAACTATATCCTAAATTAAGTTACATTAAGTAATTTACCTACTTAGATGCATGATTTACAAATAAATAGACATTGAGAGCGCTAAGGATGTTGATTAATGTGAGATTTAATACATTTATCGATAGTCGTTAGTAGACTCATCATCCTAATGCAAAGCCCACAAGAGCATGTGTTGGCGTGTGTTTCATGTCCAATACTATTGAATACGTTGATGTCGACTTGACGTATCCCTCCTATTTATGGATTTTTTTACAGCCTATAATTGATTTACTTTTTATTATAACACCAGAGACCATGCAGTAGGTTTCTAAAGTTAGTTTAGCGACTATAAATAAGACCTAATCCCACTTAAAATAACAAACAACGCTGAAAATATTCTATAACTGATAAGTAAAACAGTATACATTTACAGTGAGTATGTATTATTTATTATACTATTCACCAGTCTATTTATATGTATGGTACTTGACTTTTAATGCCAGTATCACAGTCATTACGTATGATAAATATCATGTATTAATGACTATGCGTGTTTAGCTTGACAAGTTTATCAGCTGTCTATCACTGACCACTGACCAGCTGTGGAATGTGGTCGCAACCAGGTTAGCCAACCATGCAATGTCACCAAGTAGTTCTGCCAACATAACTATAATACATCGGTACGGTTTGGTTATATGATGTTATACAACATGATTACGGCTCCAAACACAATAATTGGATAAGTTTGATATAATTTTGAATGGCTAAAAACATTGTTCACGTAAGTTGTTGTAAAAATGTGGAGATTTTTACTACAATATGTGCACTTATTTTGTCATATCCTTACTATTATTTTACAAACCAATAATTACTAAAAAACTCAAATTGTAGTTCTCACACTTCAATGCAAATATGAATGATATGAAATGATTTTCGTGTTCGTGTCAAAGGAGTCTTTTGAATTGAAATAAATTAAAGAATCTTAATAATATTTTAAATATTTATTATCAATTTTTAATAGTTCTGTGGTACTATAATTTGGTGCAATCGTGTTTTGGATTTGTTTGAACTCACTTTTGGACTTTAGAAACGACTCGTATACTGTATTATTGTTTTCACTTACTCCTGTTGCGGAATAGGTAGACTGTTGAAGCATAATATTGTTTTATGTCCCTGCAACATTTTCTTTCCACGAGGCCACAAAGGGAAATTTAACGCTTGAGACTTGTCGGTTGGTCGCACTGTATCACCAACAATGGTAACCTACCCCATTAGCCTTAGACGCCAAATGAATACTAGCTTTGGCCGCTTCAAAGGATGCCGCCTTCCTACGAAGGACCTTCGATTGTTATCTCAATAAACATTCGGCCCAAGTGTCGAGTTATACGATCCCGTATCGATGTTATCGAAGTGTTTATTGATTCGAATGTTGTACAGGTTTGAGAGATTCGATAAATATGTAATAAAGTGTGAAAGAACAATCACCGTGTACCGATTAGGCCTAAAATGTTAGCAATAACTTTATGCTTTAGGCCTACCTGAAATAATTGATTTATACTCACAGAACTTTATTTCTAAGAATAAGTAACTTGCAAATATTTTATACTTTCTATTCTGTTACAAATTTTAAAACTTGACGTTGTGTGACTACATGCACGTTATATGTCTTAACTAATTAAGAATTATGATAAAACAAATTAAAAACTGGTTTCATGTAATTTGTAAAAAGTGTAAACGATTTTTAAAATATAATCCCGAATGAATTATCTGTGTTTTCAAATTTGTTCAATTGTAAATACAGTTTAATATAATTTATAGTCTAGCCTTATAATGGTGTGACGCGATTTACGCCTGCTTGGTTTGCAATGCACTGTGTTGGGTCGTTTATTGCTCAGTGTGGTAACAAAACCTCCCATTATTTCCACATTGTTATGGTACTCGTAATTTAAAAATGTATAATTTCTTTAAAACGTTCTAATTTAATTTTAAAGAAAGACATGAATCCAAATAAAACAGTTGTGTATTTGTTGTGTTGACAATTTTTTTTGTTGCGTTCGGTAACACAAAGGTGTTAAATTCAGCCCTGCAACTAACACCACGGACAAGCATAGGGATATTTCATTCGTTTTGTCTATGCTATTATCAACGGACTACAACTAACACAAAATGCAAAGCTCTCGCAATTGCTGGCTGTCGCGTCACAATCTTAATGTTGTTAATTTTTATTGCAATCCTTAAATGGCGAGCCATTATCATAAACTAGATAAGCAGCGGACACTCACGAGGTGCACTACCACTGCTGTCATGTGATGTCCTAGATGGCACACAGTGCAAACCAGGAAAACTTGAACTGTTGATTGATTAACTTGCGATATCAATATTATGTTTTTTATCTCGAAATCAAAGACATACAATACGCATATAATATCGATTACGCTAATCTTGTTTTTGTACTGATAAGTTTTTCTAAAGGGTTAGTTTTCAGTTTCTAACAGGCTGCAAGCTTTTTAAATAACAGCTCGTTTCAGAGAGAAAATTCTTTTTTTTCAAGAGCACTGAAACACACCAAGAATGCTAAACAATGGCTTTGACATTGGATTTTGTATCTTTGTTTTAATCCCATTGAAATAAAAGCAGTCTTTGTGTGCGTTGCTCTTAAAACTCTTCTTGTCATACAGACGTTTCTTTGTTTACACTCGTTGTTACAATGTTCAAATATATTTTATTCCAAATATTTTACATCGTAAGACTTTTTTTACAAATACTGGAATAACAGAAAGTTGCAAAGATATAACGACTATTTTAGAAAATACAATTGAAATCAAAAGAATAATGTCGTTGACGTTAGCAACAGCGATCGTTTAAACGGCGACTCCAGTTGAGTTGCTATGTTGGTAACCCTGTGCTCGTTACAGCTGTTTTGTTAACTAATGCTTGTTCAAGTCACTTGCTTAATGGGTATAGTTTGCACTCAAGCTACAAGTTGGAAACACATAACTAGGTTGGGAAATCAAAACTTTCAACTTAATAAAATGTGGATTGTCAATTCGTTTAGTTATTCAAGAAATTTGCAATTCTGTTTTCGTCTATGAGGCACGTTTGAATATAAATATTTAATAATGTTTTAAGTAGTAATTGCTAATTAGTATATTTATAAAAAGTTATTTCATATAACATGTGGCACATGTGCTTTTTTCTCATAACGGAATGGAATTAAACGACTTATATATATTGATGTATGTTTATACAGTTCATCAAACGTATTTAAAGTACACGATTGTAAAATTATATAATTAAAACGTACTTTATATTATTTATATTTGTGTGTTACATTGTTGTTCGATTGAGCTAAATACCGATATATAAATAATGAGCTATACCGGTGCTTGGTGAAATACAGGGTATAGCAAAATCTCTTCGTGATAGTGAAAGAGAGAGACGAATATAGGGAGAGAGGAAGGCAGCAGATCTGTCAGTATATAGCGACAAGCTCATTAGAATAGTTGTCTTGTGTTCTCTTCTGTCTCACATTGATGTGATAATAGGATTAAATTATAACCACCTTAAATCTTTGTGATTACATAAAGTATTTACATCGAGATGGATTCATTTGCTGGTTGCTATAACATAGTTCCTTGTTTAAACATTCACAATGTTGAATTTTACTTCTACCTAATACTATACTACATTATGTAAACTATTTGACGATGTAAGGTTTTGAACGTACTATTATGCACAGCAGTTCTCAGAGAAGTGGGGACGTTTCTTTTTGTACCAAAATGGGAAAACTATTGCATTTGAATATTAAAGTTGTCGGTTAAAAGATTTTTCTTGACCTAGAGTTCAGAGTTGTCTTTGGCGGGTTTGTAGTGTTGTCTCTAATGTATGGATTGTGTTGTTGCAGAACACGATACGGCTGTGCTCCAAGACGGGCAGTTGTGCGGTGACGTTAGGCTGGGAGAACGTCGTACCTAAGACTGAACCTGTCAACAACCACGTACACACGCGACAACACGCCAACAACAACAACAATAACACCACCACCAACAACCACCACGACAAGGTATGTCCACATGCAGTTAGTTGTACTATTTATGTATTCCTGTGTAAAATTTGAAATCCAGTTCAGAAATAGGTATTTAAAACACATCGAAGAGTTAAAATGAACCACTGACAGTGTGTGTGGATGTTAATAACTTGATAGTGTAAGTGTAGATCTCCATCAAGCAAACTAAAGAGACAAAGTATCGTTAAATGTAGAATATTTTATGTCACATCGAAAAAAGAAAAAAAAGAGAAAACCCTGTAAAAAATGTTACTAACATTCATAACAAATTTTCAATTTAATTAAAAGATGTTATTGGTATTTCTGCGCGTTTTAACTGTTAAATCCCCTGAACGAGATAACCAGCGATTTGGATGTAATCGAGTATCAGATGAATTGGAAGATTAGCGCACTCTATAGAGTGGAGTGGAGTGGAGTGGAGTGAGGAGCGATTATTGAGCGGAACAGCTGAGAGGCTGGTAGTTCCGCGAGTGTCCGCTAGGTAGCAACAGCAGGCGGCGCGGCGACTCTAGCGCTGCAGTAGACGTAGTTTACTGGTGAGCTGACAGGTAACGCTAGTAGTCTCTTGCCACTGTCATAAAACAAAACTTTTTAGTACAGTTTTAAAAATGTTTTAAAGTTTTTAGTAATGTTTTAAAATGGATTTGCTGATAATTCACTCAGTAATAATATAACTACAATCCCTTAAAGATTTTTCAGATTTGAATGTTTGATACAGTATTAAAGGTTATGGTACTTTTATCTACACATTTTTATTACAATAAACACATGAATTGTAAAACTTGTTTGCAAACACCTACCTGGTTTGCAATTATTTTGCAATAATTCGTATATTATTTTCCTGCCCTCTTATTAGGTTGTAGTTTTTGCAATACATTGCCTCCATTATATGTTTTTGATTTTTTTTATCCAATTAAAACCTTTTATTTATTTGCGTAGACCATGTGGAGACTTATCCTCAAGTGTCTGCACGTATGTTTATTTGTTTAAATCCGGTGACAGACGTTGGCCTCAGTGTTATGCTACCTATACAATCATGTAAGTGCTTGGAATGGATCAACATGGATGCAGTACCCACAACTAATTACAAATGCATTACCATTACTGAAAATATGCTAGAAAGGTTTGAATTAAAAAAGTAATGTGATTGTTCAAATAGGTTATGTTATACCCAGCCTACCGAAGATGACGAATAAGCTACACAACTCGCCTAGGAATAACATTTAACTCCGGTAACGTAAACATGTGTTGTGTTTATGCGCCAAAGAGGATAACATTTTAGCATTGCAGATAACAGTCGGTGGGAGACGGTCATACACAATTTCACCATTTTACGACGGATTGCATTGTCTTTAACGACGGTGGTGCGACCTTTTACGACGTCGTAACCGCTTTACGACAGCTAGTGACATTGATTAGGCCGTTTACGATTATGTGGCCACTTAGCCGGGCCGCGAACCGGCTGATTGTACATCACTTCTCGCGTAAATGTCACCTACAACGGTGACAGTGTTGTCTGTCTGCCTTGAGAGTTTTTGCTAGAGTAACCAACCTCTGATACTGAGTTTTACACTAACACCCCTCCCCCCATGAAATTTTTACAATGATACCATTGATACCCACGTACCCCAGTTACTTGTTTAAAGAAAAAATTGTCAAACATGAGAAAAATTTAGAAGGTTTTTTATAGTACGATATTGCACTCGGCTGTTCTTGGTCATTGGCCTTTAACTAGCAATTCCATTTAAAGAGACTCGTAGTAACAAACTATGCTGCTCGCTATCATTAGTTAGTATCATTCAATTCAACATATTTTCTGAACATTTTCAGCTTATGGTGTTATCGTGACTTGTCAGTGGGCGCAGATCACTCTGAGGCTAGACTAGAGATAGTACTCTACTCAGCCTGCTACGCCTTTAGCAGCTGTCATTATTCACTTACATTCTCTGTACAGGGCGCCACTGATGACAACGCCAGGGATCCACCTAGGCCCGCGCCACCTCGCACCCTCTCACGACTGTTGTACCTCACTTACATTCTCTGTACAGAGCGCCACACTACCAGAGCCTGCGGGCGCCACTGATGACAACGGCAGGGATCCACCTATGCCCGCGCCACCTCGCCCCCGCTCACGACTGTTGTACCTCACTTACATTCTCTGTACAGAGCGCCACTGATGACAACGGCAGGGAGCCACCTAGGCCCGCGCCCCCACGCACCCTCTCACGACTGTTGTACCTCACTTACATTCTCTGTACAGAGCGCCACTGATGACAACGGCAGGGAGCCACCTAGGCCCGCGCCCCCACGCACCCTCTCACGACTGTTGTACCACACTTACATTCTCTGTACAGAGCGCCACTGATGACAACGGCAGGGAGCCACCTAGGCCCGCGCCCCCACGCACCCTCTCACGACTGTTGTACCACACTTACATTCTCTGTACAGAGCGCCACTGATGACAACGGCAGGGAGCCACCTAGGCCCGCGCTACCTCGCCCCCGCGCACCCTCTCACGACTGTTGTACCTCACTTACATTCTCTGTACAGGGCGCCACACTACCAGAGCCTGCGGGCGCCACTGATGACAACGGCAGGGAGCCACCTAGGCCCGCGCCACCTCGCCCCCGCGCACCCTCTCACGACTGTTGTACCTCACTTACATTCTCTGTACAGGGCGCCACACTACCAGAGTCTGCGGGCGCCACTGATGACAACGGCAGGGAGCCACCTAGGCCCGCGCTACCTCGCCCCCGCGCACCCTCTCACGACTGTTGTACCTCACTTACATTCTCTGTACAGGGCGCCACACTACCAGAGCCTGCGGGCGCCACTGATGACAACGGCAGGGAGCCACCTAGGCCCGCGCCACCTCGCCCCCGCGCACCCTCTCACGACTGTTGTACCTCACTTACATTCTCTGTACAGGGCGCCACACTACCAGAGCCTGCGGGCGCCACTGATGACAACGGCAGGGAGCCACCTAGGCCCGCGCCACCTCGCCCCCGCGCACCCTCTCACGACTGTTGTACCTCACTTACATTCTCTGTACAGGGCGCCTCACTACCAGAGCCTGCGGGCGCCACTGATGACAATGGCAGGGAGCCACCTAGGCCCGCGCCACCTCGCCCCCGCGCACCCTCTCACGACTGTTGTACCTCACTTACATTCTCTGTACAGGGCGCCTCACTACCAGAACCTGCGGGCGCCACTGATGACAACGGCAGGGAGCCACCTAGGCCCGCGCTACCTCGCCCCCGCGCACCCTCTCACAACTGTTGTACCTCACTTACATTCTCTGTACAGGGCGTCACACTACCAGAGCCTGCGGGCGCCACTGATGACAACGGCAGGGAGCCACCTAGGCCCGCGCTACCTCGCCCCCGCGCACCCTCTCACGACTGTTGTACCTCACTTACATTCTCTGTACAGGGCGTCACACTACCAGAGCCTGCGGGCGCCACTGATGACAACGGCAGGGAGCCACCTAGGCCCGCGCTACCTCGCCCCCGCGCACCCTCTCACAACTGTTTTACCTCACTTACATTCTCTGTACAGGGCGTCACACTACCAGAGCCTGCGGGCGCCACTGATGACAACGGCAGGGAGCCACCTAGGCCCGCGCTACCTCACCCCCGCGCACCCTCTCACGACTGTTGTACCTCACTTACATTCTCTGTACAGGGCGTCACACTACCAGAGCCTGCGGGCGCCACTGATGACAACGGCAGGGAGCCACCTAGGCCCGCGCTACCTCGCCCCCGCGCACCCTCTCACGACCGCCTGTCCGACGTAAGTCACATTTCCTACCATTGTTTTTATTTCCGTGACTTTAACACTCTTCTTAACACTATTATTGTATTATTTCCTATAATTTCCACCAACTAACAAATTGTTAACACTGCCAATTAGTGAAACTTATCAATAACCTAAATACTTATTACTAGTATTTTATTAATTGAAATAGTGCTATTCGAATTAAAATACAAAATGCTTGATTATATATCGTAGTTTTTAATTTGAACTTTCGTGCATTACAGCCTTTTACGTTTGCATGTTTTTTTTTATCAAAGGCTACTGCATTTACTTGACTTTTGTAGCCCAAATAAAATATATTAGAACTAGTCTATACTTTAAGTTTAACCCTGCATGTATTTTTGTTAAATTCTGCATGTGGTTTAGGTAGCAGTTATTAACTCTTTTTACAAGCAAAATGTAAACAAAACCATAAAAATATCCATGTTAATGATTGAAAAAGTAAAGTGATGTCCTTGCTCTCTCTCTCTCTATAAAATCTATGATATAAATACTATTGTTTAATAATTTTAAAATGTTAAACAGCAAATAAACTGAAACTAGTTTCATATTATTTTTTGAAATGCTAATCGTAAATTTGGGTTCATACTCTTAAACTTAAATTTAAGTAATGTTTTAAAATACTTAATCCCAAACCTATTGAGAGTTTCTGTTTTTATGTTGCGTTGTTTTCATCCCTGAATCTGGAATCTCTTCTTTATTTTCTCCCCTCCTAAGCCAGTTTAATTAATTAATTGTTTTCTGTCCAGACTGAAGCGCCTAGCGTGGTAGCAGGTCAAACTACGGGAGACTTCTACTGCTTACTGCTTACTGCTACTGCTTATATACAGCACTAATAGTGCTTGGCAATATGCATTGATTTTTAATGTTTCTTAAGATAATAGTAATAATAGGGAATTCATTTCAATAGCCTAATGTATCTGTATAAGCTAATTTAACCTATTGAAACTATTAGATAAATGAGTGAGTATTTCGTGATCTATAATAGTCATAGTTATTTTTTTGTTTTGGTTCTTTTCAGAAAATGTAATAACATTTGTTCAACTTTAACCTAAGTTATTAACTTTATATTCATGCAATTTTATTTCATTTCACTAGTTTTTTAAGGTTTGATAATTTACAAAAAAAAAATTATTAATTGTGGGGGGCGTGGATTTCTTTAAAAGTCATCTTCAGAGAATCTTTTGATTTCGAAACATTTGTTGGATTTAGGTAGGTAGTATTCTTGTTTTATTTAACATCGATTTATTCAATGATCAAGCTTTTGATGTAATGTACTAACATTTGTCTTTGTTTTCAGGGGATTTAATATTTCCCTTTTTATAATTGTATATGTAATAGTTATTAATAGTCCATATAGTGTCTAATTTTAAACGTATTTACAGGCAAGCAGTCGCTGCAGCAGTGGACGTGGATATATCGTAAGTATAGTTATATTTGTTTGTACCAAGTCTTGCAAATATTTCTTGCAGTAAACTTTCCTATTAGTTTTTATATCTTTAACAGCAATTAATTATTTTAAGTGGTAAACAGAGATTCGAGTTCAGTACGGTTACAGTAAGAATGATCTGCAATTCTTCTAAAAGAAATGCATCGTTTTAACAGTGTTCCCCAATCACTAACCTCATCTCATTATTCAGAGCTCGTTTCCTAAAACCTTTTTTGGTTTAAATATGTTTTTGGCAATTCAATATGTTTTTGGCAATTCAATATGTTTTTGGCAATGCAATATGTTTTTGGCAATTCAATATGTTTTTGGCAATTCAATATGTTTTTGGCAATTCAATATACATTTAATAAGTCATATTGCCTTTAGATTTGTTACAGGAAATCATTACATAAGATAACGTAGAAAGTCTTGTCATATTTAATAAACTGAATTTCATGAAGAAAATCAAATAATAAAACACGCTGGTGTAGCAGTTTTAAAGTTTAATCAGTCACAAACTTTCAAACAAAGTTAAACTTGTAATATTATAAAAGTTTGCTCTCAATTTAACCAAAGTTAATTGAAGAAGGTTATGGAACAACAACAAAACTTTACCTAAGCGAGAGCGAGTAGAGAAGTAGTTGATCAAACTTGATCCTTGGGGGCACCTTCCAGAGTTTTGGGATCCAAACGTGTGTTCATCATCAAAACTGAATTCAAATTTTTTTTATCAAGACCAACAATGCAATTTTATTAGGACGTGAGCAAATGCTAGAATCAAGGGGTTGGGTTGCTGGTTGGCTTAAAATAAAAAATGCCACATTGCGAAAAGTGTTATTATACTATGAGATTATATTTTGGAGTACTGTACTAGCTATCACATGTATAAATGGTTTTAGAACCAATGCATTTGGAATTGTTCTAAGCCATATATTAGAGTAATTTATTCATACAGATTGATTATAAAAAGAGTTTGTGCTGTACTCCTCTACCACTGTAACACCATTTGCTTACTAAACACTGCATCTGCATGATTTAATTTTATATTAAAAAAATACACAGCAAAAATGCAACTTCAGGTGTATTATTTATAAACAGTGACTTTATTTTAAATTAAATTTTAATTTGTTATTAGTTAATAAATCATAAGATTAATTGGCTTGTCAAACCTTTTAGTCAGTTTACAATTCCAGCCTTACTCATTTGATCTAATACAGTACACTCTTTATTCCTCTAGTTTACTCCATCACCAACCCCTCTTGTAAACTCAGCTTAGAGATTAACACGTTTAATCAACACAAACTTTTCAAACAATTATGTAATCTAAAAAAATGTAAAAAATTGTAAAAAAATGATTGCGGCAAAAGTAGGTAAATGCAGAAATTAGTTACTTTGCGTGCTATAATCAGTGCAAGAAGTTCACTTTGTCAGGTAACTGTAGGAAAAAATATTCTTAGCTGAAATTGCTGATAAGTAAGGCAATACTATGTGACTACTGTGAACAGATTCTAAATTATCAGTGTTCCACAACAAATTTCCATAACAATCACTTTTAAAAGAAAATGTATATTTGATTTACTAAGTAACTTATACATTTTGTATTAGGCAACAACCTGAGACTATTTATAATACAGCAAGTCAGGCAAAAACAATCTGTGATTATTCCCAAAGCAACTATAAGTCAAGGATCTAATCAGTTATTAATTCAAGCGCGGTGATAAGTTCAATTTTCCAGCTGAGCGGTTTCTATCGGCGATCGCCACGCTGTCATCACCCCCGGCGGTGGATTATTGAACTAGTTAATGAGGTGTTCCGTATCTGATATCTGATTGGCAATTAAATTGCCATTCGCTCTGCTATCACAATGTGATTTATTGGCGTGGTTGGTGATTGAAATGTTGTTACTCCTATTAATTTATCAACTTCAACGATTGTTATTATTCAATTTTTTATATTTATTTAACTTTTTAATATTAGGCTATGTTATTTATCAAAATATTATTTTATTACCGAAACATGAAACGTTTTGACATTTATACTGTTGCTTATTCGATGTTTGTACTGATACTTTTTAAATTAATTTGATCTCAATAATTTTGTTATCTATATAATTAATACTTCGCCATTTCTTAACCGAGTTTATCCATTGACGTCTCATTGGAAAGAGCGTGTCGCGTAGATTTGCAAACTGGCCTTTTTTTTTAAAAAGTCCCTTGGGCTCTGCCCCAGTGGCTTTTAAAGTTCCCATGTTATCCTTATGAAGAACATAATTGTTTACATTTTGATCAGCTGTATAATTTAATTGCTGTTATTTATTTTTCAATTCAAAGTCTTTTAAACTCATAGGATATTATGATGACTTTTATTTGTTTTAAAATAACTACTTTACTTCTTTGTAATTGCTCGATTTCGAGCAACGTGTTTACTAGTAATTATAAATTAGTCACACACCCTTGACGACTTTGAACATTTGCGGCTGCATCAAATAAATATAATGTTAAGTTAACTCACTCTTGTTCAAGCTTTTGATAGTTGTACAAACCAATTTAAAGTTAATTGCCAATTTTGGTTTTCCCCAATGAAACATTTTACACGTTTTTCCCTTCGTTGTATTAATAGTGAGTAATTTTGCTTCCACAACGCTTTTCTCACTATAAATTTCTCTTAATCTCCCGTAATCGTCCTTAAATCTTTTAAAATGTTAATCCTTTGAGTATTCGCCTAATTTCAACCATAATCTCTGTTCAATACAATGCAGGCGTACTAATTACATACTTCACCTCATTGGCTTAGCAATGATTGAATAGCTGGTAATTGGCTGTGCTGTTGTGTAGTGTAGTTGATGGATTATTGGTTGTTATGTGTCAGCGATATATCTGACTGAGTCACCTTAATAGGACCTTAATAGACTGAGCCACTTAATATATTTACAATAATTATAAAAGGAAATGATCAAGATTTGTCAAGAGCAAATTATTTATTCACCATTTCTATAGGTAGAGATGTAATAGAATGTTCACTATCATGGCCGATTTATTTCATTTTGTTTTCTTTTAAAATAGTAAATAGAAAACTGATCTTTTGAAATATGTTACGTTGTTAAAACTTGTTAATAGATAACAATAAAAAATATTTCTTTTCCAGACGTAAAACGATATACTTCTAAGCACAATTACCCGTCGTTTGAAGAAACAGTTGTTCATAAAGAGCCTGTAAAGTTAAAGAAACCAACTCATAAAATTATAGTAGTTGTTTGCGCCAATTTTTGAACGCTCAACCAATAGCCAATAAGCTAATAGCGTTAAGTGGGGGAAAGTTGGCAGTACTGCAAACAATGCTGTTACGACAACTGATTGGCTGAATGGTCAGTTTGGTCAACAACGCTGTAATAATGTACCATTAAACTTACAGTGTCTGTACAAAGGGAAATTACTTCTAGGAATCGCCATGCGTTTTTTATAGTTTCTCAGTTACTCCATCACACCACCATTACAACATCAACCTCTTTTGAAGTTACGGTGGAATAAAACTATTTCTTTTGCCGATAGTATAATTGAAAATTTATTATAACTTCACGCTTGAGCTAATATAGTTACCTTATTGTTTTGCCAGTAAAACAAAGTTGGCGTAATTTATTTTTGAGTTGAGTTATCTAACTTTAATATAGTTTGAATGTTTATATCAAATTTGAAAGGGTTATGACGTACCCTTTATACACTCAGTTTTTTAGTAAAATTTTATTAAATCTATTTCCCGGGAAATGTAAAATTAATAAATTACAGATTTAACTTATAATTGTTTCTTATTTTTACAGCAAAAGTTTATTTTCTAAATACATCCTTTACTAAAATCGCAAAATGGTTCGTAGTTAATTGAAACAACCAAAATTGCTTTATAATTTAATGCTTTTAAAGAATGACATTTTCATCCAATGTCATAAGTAGGTCACTTCAAGTCGAGAAATTAATGAAAGTGGTAAAATAGTGGTGCGTGTATCATAAATATTATAACAAGGAAGCACGTGCGGTGGCGGCATGGGCGGCATATACTATGAGACCCCACCTAGCCACTATTGACCTGACGAGGCGATTGCTAATTTAATGAAGTTTAACTACTAGGCACCCAGTGCAATTTACTACTGAATATTTCATGCATTTAGGTTGAACATACTAGGTATATCGAGAAATTAAGTGGGCTCCGTCATACCTCAAAGTGGACTGTTGTTGGCAATGGAAAGTATGGAGAATAGTCTCGTAATACAGTATTAAATTAATAAACACAGTAACACAATGTTGTACAGCCAGTGATCACAAGTGATATACAGTAGTGATGCTAAGGGCAATTTTGAATAAAAACCGCGGTCAAGGTGAAACATATTGTGTAGGGGTAAGTTTTTGTTTCTGTATTAAAATCACGTATATATGACCAACTCAATTTTAATAAAAGCATATTAACGATCTTAGTAGTCCTAAATTGTAAACTTTTGTATTTTACTACATTTTAGTTTTTTGCATTTTATGCTGTCTTTTATTTTCAATCTGCGTTTTTTCTGTTATTTGATAACCTATTTATGCCTGGTATTATATTTTTTTTAAATTAGGTTAGATAATGGGGTGTTTTAATTATTATCTTCATATAAATAACACTTTCACATATAAAAATGGTTACAGTGAAATTAAATCCATTGATCCTTTTTAAATCAAGTAAACAATGTTTAGGTACAGTAAAAAATAACTTGATGCATATTGTATGATTATTTAACCAATAAAAAAAATATTTTCTAAAAGGCTTGCATAAACCATTTATTTATTATTCAGTGGAAATAACAAAAACTGTTTCTTAAGTTATATCTGTATAATCAACAACCATCTCATTTTAAGGCAAGATAAATCAACTTTTCTCCCCTCACATCCTCTTATACAAAAGTACATTTCTTACACTAATAACTTACGTAAAATACTTGACTCACTTGTTTTGACAGTTATAGTATACACTTTTTACAAAGTAAAATTCAAGGGCTATATTGATTACTATTCAATTTGTGTTGCTGTACTGTAATTATTTAATATTTTAGCATATATCTTGAGCAATTAATTTATTTAGCTTCCTTTTTAAAGGCTATGTAGGCCTATTTATTTGAGTATGTATGTACTGTATTTAAATGATCAATAACAAACCATTGATAAAGGTAACCTAAACGGTTTTCTTTAGTCTCCGTATTTACATTTCATGTTCATAAATAGTTGCAGCAGTTTAAATCCAAACAAATATTTGAACGCATTTATGAATTTAAATTAAAGAAGTTTATTGTTCAAAAATATTATGTCCGTTGTATCAATTATTAGTCTGGTAATTAATTGTATTGTACTCAATATTATTTGTTGTTGTATTGACTTGGCCAATACAAGTTTGTTAATTTAGCCCAACAAATGACTTTTTGACTTATAAATGCTAACAATTAACTTTTTGATAATCATTTTGAACATTGTGTTGTTGGTATGCACTAAATAAAAACGAAAATTCTGTTATACAAAACTTAAATATGTACATAATACATATTACAATGATCTGATATTAAGTAATGTTGTTTCTGTTTCAGTGTGATAGTGAAGGAGACGATGATAAGGTAAGAACACTACTGTATAAATATGTCCCTCTTTGGTTTTATTCCTTCAGGTCCTTAGTAAAAGGAATTGTAGGCCACAATAAATGTCAAACACAACACATTTTTATAGACGAGTTTATTGACAATCTGTCATAACAACAATGCATATAATGCTATCAAATACATTATGTCAAATACAAGTGATTATTGCATTGCCAACCAATGTGTACTCAGTATAATATTGTATTATTGTCGATTATTGTGTTGGTTGCATTATTGGCTAATATAATTGAACACACAACTTTGATATGTGGTTATAATGTCAAAGAGCCAATAACAGCTCGCCATGACTATTACCCTTTACACAAACAGATTAATGGAAGTGGATACCAATGTTTAATATTGATCAGCACATTTTGCACCACTAGAACCATTAGGCTATGGCAAATAGTCATGTAAGCAACTAGTCAATGTAGCAAATAAATTGTCTGCAACTAATCATTGTTGCAGAATACACTACCAGCAACTAATAAATATTTGTTGCAAACATACTACTGAATTTGACACAGTAGCTACTAAGTTACATATTAACACCTAACTACTATACGGACTACTGTAACCCGTTTATTATGACGACAAAAATTTAATAATATTATAATATTATAGCATTACAAATGTTCAGAACCAAAACCTCGATCAAATTTAAGCGTTTAATTACTTACAACTGTTCGTCTTTGGAAAGTTGATTTTAAGTCTAGGAAAACGGAGCAGCAATTCAATATCGAGATGACTTTGATCTTGTATGGATGTGATTTGATTCTCCTCCTACATGAGAAATCCCGCTGTACCAATATTTATTAAAGAATCCTCTGCTCCGTTTTAACCACCCAGCATGTATTGTTAATAAATTACTTATTATATTGGATTTGTAACATTTTATCTTATAAAAAATAAGGTAATAAAGAGTAGGCTAATAATGTGAATAGGAATTTTAGGAAAAGAAATACAGGGCAGAAAAGGGCAGTTGCTTAGTTTGGCGTCATACAGACTAACTGAGAGAGAACGATTTTGGGGGTCGGAAGCCCATTTTGGAGCTCATTTCGTTAATCGCATCCCTTACTAGCCGAGTCAGCTGCTTCCTGAAAATATTGGTTCAGCTAAATGAAATTGATTTTTCTCTTGTGTAGTTTCTGTTAGATAGGGTTAACATGTTTGGATTGTAAATTGCAAGTAATATTAAGTATGTATTTAAAAAAATAACCTCATACTATACTGGGTAAGAGTGTTAAATTGTTGGCATATAACCCAGGACATGTAATTAATTAATTTAAATTCTTCTTAATGTTGGCTTTAGGCCTGCACCTATGATTAAACAGTTTTCTTATCGAATTATTCAAATAAAACCAACCAGTTTGGGATAGTCAATACCTTCTCTTACCCAATACACCTTGTAGACAACCAACCCTAGTCTAATCTGAAACCCCATAACCTTCCCCTACAGCAGTTTATAGGATTACACGCATGATAGTACAGTGGAGAAGTATGGATTAGTTTAGGGTGGGTTAGTCCAGGTGTACAGACTTACAATACAACACAGTATGTAGGTAAGGGGGAACAATTAAGGGTTGTTTATGATTGATTTACTCTCCCCATGTTTGGTGATACTCCACCTACCCTCTCTTTGACAGTCCCCAAGTGGTGTTAGATTCCGGGGCTGATTAATTTACCAACCCCTTAAACTTGACAGGTGATGTGTTATGACATTGTTGTCATTTGGTAAGTGGTTTACAATAGGTGGAAATAAGGTCGAATTTACATATTAGCAGCATGGAGGTCCTTTCCACCATTCAGATTAGATTAATACTAACCTACCCTGAGTATTTAATTAAATATTTTGAAACTGTTACTTTTCTTTATAGCGGAACAGACAGATTTTATGAATATACATGTTATGTATGTTAATATACATTTTATTATACATGTTATTATACATGTATCATAAATAAAACCCAGTACCGTTATGCATTCTCGGATGATGTAATTTTACTTTATTAAGGTAATTTTATAAAAAGTTGTCAATGTTTTATAATGTAAGCATTTATAAAATTCACTACTCACTCTATTCGGAACACATTTTAACCTAGTGGGGCATTGTATTAACATGTACCTACGACCAAATCCATACATGGTCCTGAACATTTTAAATGTGATTTTGATATATCAAAATAAAAAAATTTCTAAATGATTCAATTATTTACAAATTTATATAATTAATCAAATTATTTTACCCTAAATCTTGTATAATAATCGTTAAACTGTCGAGTAGCGATATAAACATAATAGGCATAAACGTACGACCGTAAAGCTAATGACAGCTGATTGGTGTCGTAAAAGGCGGGAATTGATGCGGCTCTAGTGATTCAACCGAACCTAACGAAATTACCCTCGAGAAGTGGCGGGGTATTTGCATAAAAGAGTAGAACGCTTTAATAGATTCCTGAGTTATTGGGAGTGACAAAAGCAGCAGCAATGAACATCAATTACCCGCCAAAGTTGGTGAGTCGCCGTTGGCGCGGGAAACGCTAATTGGCTGACAGTTGATTGTCGACTTGGTGGTAGATTTATTATCGACGGACCAGCTAGGCGTCTTAATTAACTGATCTGTGCCTACGAATCTATTCAAGTATCACCCAAACTAACTAGCAAACTGTTTATTATTCCCAAAGAAACAAACATAATACGTAGGCTATTAGACCAGTTATAAATAGATGCTAATTACAATCAATTTGTTTACGCACTTGGTACGCAAAAATCCTTTAAATCACGCCTCCTGTTTGATTTAAAATTAAAGTTTCTGATGAAGGTATGCATTTCGGATGATTACTCGAGTAAATAAATGTAGCAGAGAACTCATTATACATATTTATGGGCTTAAACTACCACTCTCTTGACTTATCATAATCTTAAACCGTATAGAATGAGTTTGGAAACGAGTAGACATTTCTATCATATCACTGACAATACCAAGTAATGTACTAGAATAATAAAACAACACCATTAGGTGTTATACTTCATTCTTGAGATTCTCGCACAGACTGTTTGATTTATTGGGACGGAAATTTATTGTTATAAATAAATAAAATACCTTTAATAAACAAGCTTCCTCAGTTCAGTAGATAACGTAAAAAGTTATACAGACGCGAACGCAAAGTAAAAAAAAGTATGGTAGTTGGTTAACTGCTTCGGATTGAACAAAACATCGTTTATGCAGAGCCATGATGCGTTTTATCACACGTATAACTGAGTCGGGCCGTTCCAGAGTTAATAAAATGCTCGAAAGAGACGTTTCGAGGTATTAAATGTAATTTAACGACCGTTGCTCGAGGTATAAAACCTTTATTTGCTCGTGCTTATGTACTAACTCATAACCCTTTATCAGCTGTAACTGGATTGATAGGTGCTCACTACTTGATAATAATGGGATGTGCAAGAGCGATGAATACGTCGTTTATATAGCTTATTGTATTAACAATGAACAATTATCAATGTTTAAATGTCCAACTAGATTATAATATAGTAAGACTAAATCGATGTGAAACATATTAAATAATTAGTTACTCTTATATTATGAACGTGGGCATTACAGATATACAATCACAGTTTAGTGTATAAAACTGCAGTTACTATCAACACTATTGTTCACAGTCAGCAGGCATAAAATACCCACAGTTTGTTGCAGTATCGTTTAACCCAGCCAGTCGAGTTCATACCGGAGCGTTTACTGATACAGTATACTGTATAATGTACGTTGAAATGAGATCTAAAAGTCGAAAGCTTTTTCCTCCGTCTGGGTTGCATCGCTAAGACACTCAATCGATATTGGAGTAATTTCAGATTCTCTTGGAGTTCGTTACCATGGTGACGACTTACATTACATTAAATCAAATTCCCTCTTTCCCCTTCTCCACTCATTTTAGGGATGCTCCGAAGAAAAAGTAAAGAATAGCGAAGAAGGTTATATTTTTGGTTTATAATTTTGGTTCAAAATACTATGGCTTTCAGTATAGTGTAAATGAGCTACCGGTAGTGGGATATAGACAATCTATTTTCTCGCTGAGTGGAAGCCAGCATTAGAATAGTAAAACAAGTTTTAAACATGTACTCATCGAAGAAAATAATTCTACGAAATTAAAATGTGGTGTAAAAAATTATTAAATATTTTAATGTTAGTCTCACAGCAAAATATTAGTTTAAAGAACCTCTTAAGTTGTTGCATAAACAGTTCAACTTTGTGTTTGGAAAACTGCTATCACTAAATTATTTACAGAGAAGCAAGTTTCCAAATTAGGTAAATTTCTCTTTGTAGGGTTGGCAGAACAATTATTGCGGTACCAAGAGGTGGCTAATTAGGTTAGGATAAGGGATCGGCAAAGTTAAATTGGCGAGAGATGCAAGAAGGGTAGGTTCAGCTTCTTGCCGCTCACAAAGGATTTCCATTTTAATAACGCAGTTTCCGGTCGGAAACAGAAAGGGGATTGTTTTTAGTCGTTGTCGTTGTCGTTGTGACATCAAAGTTGAGATGGTAGAGAATGAAGAATAATATTAAAGTGAGTTATGTCTTTCACAGCTACGGTTTTGTTTGCAGACTATTAAGTTGAATTTGTGTACAGACATTTAACACTACCTTAAAAAAATATAGGCAGGTCTAGTTAAGAATATAAGGACTAGAAATAAATATTCTTTGGTGAATTTATTATTAAAAAAGTAAAATATTAAAATTTGTTTCTTTTGCCACAATTTTATTATTTTGCCACGAAAGGATCATGAAAGGCTAGTCAATCCACTTTTGTTTATTGTTAAAACCCGCTAAGTATAAACTATTAGATTTTTGCAATATAATTATTTACACAGTATGTATCATTACGTTTGTTGATTATAGATGGTATAGAATTGATTTGTTTGTGTTATTTGTTAAAATAATATTGCATTATGCTAGACAATAGTCATAAGAAACTGAAAAC